ATCTCCAAGAGTCTACGACTATTTTATTCATTTATTTATATTTCTTATTTTTCATGTAAGAGAAAGCATATGATATTTTAATTTTACCATCTGACTTATTTTGCTTAGAATGGTCTTGAGCTTCATCTATTTTCTTGCAAATGATTTCATTCTTCTTTATGGCTGAATAAAATGCTGTGTACGTATCTACCACATTTTCTTCATTCACTCATCTGTTGATGGGCAGCTTGGCTAGTTCCAGAGCTTAACTGTTGTGAATTGTGCTGCTACAGATGTGGGTATGCAAGTATCACTATAGTATGGTGTCTCTGATTCTTTTAGAATATACCTAGGAGAGATTTAGCTAGGTATGTCTTTTTTTGAGGGCTCTACATAGTGATTTCCATAATGGTTGCACTAGTTTGCATTCCTTCCAATAACGTAGGAGGGTCCCTCTCGTCCCCCCAACCCCCATCCTTACCAGCATTCATTTCTTTTTGTGTTCTTGAGGATAGAAACCATTCTGACTAAGGTAAGTTGAGATCTCAAACTTGTTTTGATTTGCATTTCCCTAATGGCTAAAGATGTCGAACAGTTCTTCATGTACTTATTGACCATTTGTACTTTTGAAGGGTAGTTTTTAGTTTTTAGTTCTTTATATATTCTAGGTATCAGTCCTTTATCAGAAGAGTATAGCTAGTAAAGATTTTCTCCCATTCTGTTGGTTATGTCTTTACTCTATTGGTTTTTTCATTTGCTGTGCAGAAGCTTTTTAAAATTTGATGTAGCTGGTGGCGCACACCTGTAATCCCAGGACTTGGGAAGCCATGAGTTCCAGGCCAGCCTGAACTATGTAGTGAGACCCTGCCTCAAGAAAAAAAAAAAAAAGTTAAAATTTGATGTAATGTCATGTTATTCATGCTATTGGAGTTGTATTCAGGGAGTCTTTGCCTGTTCCCTGGGCCTTAAATGTTTCCCCTGTGTTACCTTCCAGCAGTTTCAAATTTTTTGTTTTTATTTCTGGTTCTTTGAACCATTTTGATTTGATTTTAGTACAGGGTGAGAGATGGGAATTTCGTTTTAATCCTCTGCAAGTGGATGTCCCGTTTTCCCAGCACCATTCATTAAAGGGCTATCCTTT